TCTCTCACTGTTTCATTTCACTCGCACACTCAGGCACACTTTTTATCTTACAGAAGCTCTCTCTCTCTCTCTCTCTCTCTCTCTCTCTCTCTCTCTTGTTTCAATTTTCTGTTCGAAAATGAAGGGAGACCGAAGAAAAGCTCCTTTAAGCGTGAAAAGAGAAGGAATCACGGCTGTCGGATGACATGCACGGATCTTGGGCTGTTGATACAGTGGGTGTCCGATTGGTGTAGGCACTGTTTCGGTCATTCTAGGACATGTGGCACAAAAGTGTTGAAGCTCCTTGATGGCTCACGTGCAGGCATTTGCAGGTGCTAGGACACACGGGTAGAAGCTATCTCTCGTGTGGAGTTGTCTCACGGGCGAGGGAAAAGAGATCCTGCGTGTCCCACGATTACGTGCCTGTGAGAGGTAGAAACGGAGCCTGTGAGTCCGCGCGGCTAACCTTGCGCGTTGGAGAATTTCTGCATGCTTTCCCCGCAAGTTGGATGCCTTGGGAAAAAGGGAGATTTTTGTGGTCAGGGGATTTTCTGTAATCCTGTGGGTTATTGGGGGAATTTTTGGGAAATTTTTGACATTTTTAAAATAGAATAATTAAGTACATTTATGAAAAATTAAAAAAAAAATGAAATTACAAGAATTTTGTGGGTGTTACACATCATCTCACAACTATAATAAATATAGGCACGTCTGACCCTCACTTTTTATATCATAACACACATGATACACCCAGACCATTATTCACTTATTTTCATAATTGGATGATGGTTTCACTTGGCCAGCTTGCATTCTTTTTCACGGTACATATGAGCTCACTTGATCCTAAATCTTTTCTCTACCAGCATATAAGGACACGCCTACTCCCATATCATCATTTACTATTTTAGATATATATTTAATTATATTCAGTTTCCTAAAAAATTAGTTAAAATAAAATTAATTATTCAACCAAAGAACACAATTAATAATCGAACTTAAGGAATATTTTATTCACTAATTAACTATAAAATCTCAACCAACATAAACATCATATATAATACATAAGCGCTACTACATGTGCAAAATTGATAAATTTTACTGCTCATAGACATCTAAATCGACATAGATATACAATAAATAATCTCAATACAACATCCTACTTGTAATCAAAGAGATTAAATTTATATAGTTTAACTACCTAATTTTGACAATCTTTATATGTACATTTTAAAAATAATTGTTAAAATAAATCCTATTTATTCTTCTAAATCATAATTTAACTAAGTTTACAACACTAGCTAGCACGCGGTCTTTATTTGACTAAGTTTATTATCTATTTTAGTTTAATTTATTAAAATAGATGATTAGTTTATCTCTACTAAGTGGAGAAGATAGTGGACAAGTTAGTGACACGTTAATGAAGAAGTTAGTGGCAATATAGTAGAAAAGTTAATGGCACGTTAGTGAAGAAGTTAGTGACAAAGAAGTGGTTTACATGGATTGTATGCCTATATAAGGAGCTCATTTGCATTAAATGAATTCATTTTGTTGTAGTTCATTTCTTGTTTTGATATATTTTTCATTTAGTTCATTTTATCTCTAAAATGAACAATATTATGGTATCAGAGTGCGACGTTTGAGGGAGTCCTACACTAATTTCGTGAGAGCTTCTATTGACAAGATGGACCATCTTCAAATTATTGGTAGAATAAAGAAGCTCAACAATCAAAACTATAATTTTTGGTCTACATGTATGATGTCTTAGATGCAAAGCCAAGATTTGTGGTATGTTGTCAATGTAGATGAAGTTTTGCAACCGGAGGCAGAGGATACGAAGGGTATGTTACAGAAATGGAAGATAAAAGTGGCAAAACAATGTTCATTTTGAAGACTAAAATCAAAGACAATGCGTTACAGCATATTCAGGATACGAAAAATCCAAAAGAAGCTTATGATACATTTTCAAGTTATTCTTAAAGAAGAATGACACAAGGCTTAAACTTTTCAAGAATAAGTTACTATCAGTAGCACAACACAACATGATGTTCACTCAGTACTTCAATAAGGTGAAGTCATTCTGTTGTGAAATTTCAAAGTTGGATCCACAAGATCCAATAAGGGAAACTAAGATGAAGAGAATAATTATCCATAGTTTGAGACCTAAATAAAAAGGCTTGGTCACTATAGTACAAGGATGGCAAAATCAACCATCATTTGTTGAGTTCAAAAATTTACTTGTTGGTCAAGAAGGCTTGGCAAAGCAAATGGGAGGAGTTTTGTTAAATGGTGAAGTGCAAGTGTTCAACATCGATAAAAGCATATGAAATTCTAAGTAGCATGCATTGATGGATCTATAAGAAATGAGGACAAGGAAAAAATTCATCAAAGAGCTTCAAAAAATCATGGAAATGAAAAATATTTAAAGGGAATTGCTATAATTATGGGAAGAAGGCTCACATGGCGAAATTTTATTGATCGAAGAAGAAGTCCATGAAGAGTGACATTATTACTTCCAAAAGTGAATAGGAATGGGATGCTAAGGCATTCTTTATTGCAAAAAAAAAAGTTAACTCTTACAGCAACAACATCTAATCAAATCGATTATGAGAAAGGTTGAATTATTGATTTGGGCTACTCAAATCATATGACTGGTAATAAAAAAAAGTTGCAGAATTTTTCAGAGTACAAAGGAAGTCATGCGGTGGTAACAACAAATAATTCAAAGTTACCAATAGCTCATATTGGTAATACGGTAGTCTCTTACTAATATAATGTTACAAAGGCACCACTTCAAAATTTCAACCATGTTCCAAGTAAGAAGAAAAATCTTCTCTCAGTATTACAATTAACTTCTTAGAGCTATTTTGTTTTATTTAGTCCACAATATATAAAGGCATATTGCGACTTTGAAATTATAGAAGAGCTAGTGATAAAGGAATAGAGAATAGAATCAGTCTATGTGATGTCTACAGAAACCACATGTGTTGACAAGATGAGGAAGAATGAGACGACAAATTTATGGTACATGCGATGAAGTCATGTTAGCTATTACAAGCTAAATGTGATGATAAAAAATTGATGTTTAAAGGAATTCCCCAACTTGAAGTAAGAATAGAAGCAATATGCACAGGATGTTAGCACGTGAGAGTGCATTAATTGCCATATAGGGAGTCTAGATTCAAAGTGAAAGATCTATTAGATTTAATTCATTATGATGTGTTTGGACCTATTAAACAAGTCTCTATTGATGGGATGAAGTACATGGTAACTTTTGTTGATGACTTTTCTAGGTATGCATGAGTGTATTTTCTTAAGGAAAAATCTAAAACACTTTTAAAGTTTAAAGGTTTTAAAAAAGATAGTAGAAATAGAGATTGGTAAAAGGTCCATTGTTGATGCACCAATGATGGGGGAGAGTATACCTCAGATGAGTTTTCTGATTTACTTCTGGAGTGTCGAATACGCCATCAATTCACATGTGCTAGCACTTTGTAATAAAATAGTGTAATATAAAGAAATAACATGCACCTAGTAAAAGTTTGTCGTAGTATGCTTCATGTGAAAAATGTCCCACGATGATTTTGGGAAGAAGCAATGAAGATTGCAACTTTTCTGATTAGTAGGCTTCCTCAGCAAAAGTTATGTTTTCTTTCACCCTTTGAAAAGTTATGCAACATGAAACCTACAGTTAACTATTTTTGAATTTTTAGATGTGTATGCTACGTATTTGCACATGATCATTTATATAGCAAGATTGATAAGAAATCTATTAGGTTATCTTTTTGGGATATGACAGTCAAAGAAAATGGTGGGCATATTATGATCCTACAACCGGGAAGTGCCACACATCACAAAATGTGGTGTTTGAGGAAGCATCCTCATGGTGGTCCTCAGAAAATAAAGTATTACTAGATTCAGAAGTTTTTAAAGATGAGTCGTAATATGCACAGATCCAACTAAGTACAGGTAAAACTAAAGATACAGATGATAATTATGATATTAAAGAAAACATAACTAAAAGTCCTTGGCAAATTGGTGTACATGAATGACTAAATGAAGAAAATGAGTCTAGTGAACTAAAAGTGCTAATTTCACTTAGAAGATCAACGAAAACTAAAAAGTCAAATCCCAAATATACCAACACTGTCATAGTAGAAGAAGTAGATGCAAAAGAACTAGAGACATTTAAGGAAACATCTTAGAATTTATAGTGGAATAAAGCTATAAAAGAGGAAATTGTTGCATTAAAATGAAATCAGATATTAAAACTCGTGTTGAAGCCAAAAGATGCAAAACCTATTCCTTGTAAATGGGTTTACAAGATAAAGAATCGCACAAATGGATCAATTGAGAGACACAAGGCTCTTCTGGTGGCTTGAGGAGTCTCTCAAAAATAGAGACTTAATTATGATCAAACATTTAGTCCAGTGTCAAAGCTTACAACTGTATGAGTCGTATTTGCACTTGTAGTAAACAAAGATTAGAACTTATAGCAGATGGATGTGAAGAATGCATTCCTA